GTAGTCGCAGTCTTCTTTCGGATATCCTTACTGAATGTTAACGGGTCATAACTACCAGATTAATTTTTTTACATTCAAATTTTACTTAAAATATAAGCAAAAATGTTGGATGGACTTACGTATCTCTTTGATTTTCCAAGCTTTGTGGAGCATAGAATGCATCCATGGCACGCAACAAACGCTCAGTTGGTGGAATTGGGGGAGGAAGACGCAATTTTGATACTACTACAGGTTTATACTAAAAAAAAGCAGTGATTAGATAGAATATGTAAAATACAGCATTCAGAAAATTTTCATGGGGATATAGTTGAATTATACCATTTTCGACTCTTGTTAGCGATTATTTGATATGAGGAGTCTAAATTAGATTAATTTAAAAATAACGGTAATAAAGATGGGAACTGAAAACGTCACCAGTACATCTTCCATTTCAATCAATGGCATCATCATGCCCGCGGGTAACTCGTAGTAGGGAACACTTGGAATTAAAGCGGTATCATCAAACACCTGCAAGAAACATATGACATAATTGAAATGATAAGAAAATTGAAATACATTTTATAATACTACAATAACTCGACATTTTATATTAAATCGAACAAAATTCAGGAAAGTAATATAAAGATAGGAAACATGCGGTCACAGAATCTTGACTGATATATAAAATTCATTACATTTACAGTCTGCGGTGGAGGACCAAAAATGGGAGTTTGTGATGAGCCACGAAATGGTGGACGAGCTGTTTGAATTTCATTTTCATTTTTGAGATTTTTATTCTGCAGACCACCACTGAATTCGTCTTCATCGTAAATAACATACGATGGATCATCTTCGTCAGGCCGAGCATGATATATATCTAAAAGTTACAATCATTGAAAATGATTGAATATCAAAATTTGCTATTGAAATGTAATATATAGTTCCACAAGTTGTATGTTACATCTCAATTCTTTTCTAAATTTATTTGGTTTAACAGTAGCTTTATAAGAAAGTAAATGTTCTGCTCAACGCACGACTCAACCTTTAAATTATTCTTAGAGTCTATTTAGATTGGCTGAAGTTTCTTGAATTATGTCCTTATATATTTTGATGTTACTCAACGCTGATAGTATGTGCAGATCGATTGCATAGAGTAAAACGAAATCGCGCTGTACATCTTACACCATTTTCAAATTTACCTTTGGGCGATGGGACATTGGTATGTGGTGGTGGGGCAGTGAAAAAGCGGCCATAATCATTTTCCGGAGGTATATTGGCAAAATTATTTTGTGTGGGCGGTGGTCCAGCAATTTTCTGGTCAAAACGTGATCGACGTTCGCGACGATTCAATGGTGATGGTCCTTCAGCTGCTGTTGGTGTTGGTGGTGGTGGCATTCCAGGTCCTGATGCAGATAAAGGCATGTCTGAAAATATTTGCCCACAAACTGCCAAAAAATTAGCTTAGTAATAATTTTTTATAAAGCTAATCGCTGAGCATTACATTAATCACTTGGTGTGCAATTTATCTAAAAAATTTATAGAATAATAACTTTTTGCAATCGAACATGAATATGATAGTGAATCTTTGGAATAAATTATAGTATAAGTGACTAATTTGATAAATTCATGCGCCTTTGATAAATTCAATTTGATAAATTCATTAAATTAGCTAATATTTAATAGTTCGAGTTTTACTTTGTTTCATCCTTTCGGTTTCAATCTGTTGTTGAAGTAGAGCAACTTGCGTCCTACAATGCAATGCAAATTCTTGGTGCTGCTGCTCATAACCTTTATAAGTTGTCAATAGTTGTGCGTGAATTTCCGCTGCTTTCTTTGCATATTCTGCTTGTTGTGCGTTTTTCCAATTTTGATATAACAACAATGGGTTTCGTAGTTGCTGAAAATTTGTAACGCAAACTGTTTCATAATTCATGGCAAATATATTGTAAAATATTGTGTTGCGTTACGGTCATAATGCCAATTTCATTCTGAGATATTCAAAGATATATATCTTCATTCATATATATATATATATATATTCATATATATATATATATATATATATATATGGAAAGTGATCGATGCTTTAAGCAACAAATACAAAACACACTTTATAACAACCATCGTCAAAGTATTTGTGCCCTTCCCAAACACCAATCAATTTCTCCAATTTTTCATTCACCATCGCTTCTTTAACACCTTGCGCCGTGAAAGCGTAGAGTTGAGGAACATATCGCGAAAGCATTTGTCGAATCGCATCCAACTTTTTACGTTGACTAAATTAAAATAATTGAGATTTAACAAATAACTATGCAAGCTATTTAAGTTCTTAACGATCACAAAATTTCAACAAATTTAGATCAGCATACTGATCAAAGTGATTGCTTTGGCAATTTTCCTTTAACTGGAATAGCAATTATAAAATGGTTAGGAATAGCTTAGCGAGGAAAGATTTACTTAAGGCTTCAACCAATTTCTAGAAACGCTGCAACACTGAATGAACGGGTAGCCTTTATGAGAAATCTAGGACTTTTTAAAATATCCTAATTTTGAATAAAATTTTTCATATGTCGAATTTTTTAATTTGATAAATCCTCACCAATGATGCGCCCAATCGTTTATTAAATATAAAATATGAAGTTTGAATTGTTCAGTGGCACGTGGCTCCTTCACTCGGTATAATAGATACATCAATATAGCCTCACGCAGGCGATCAGTTGTACATTTCTCGAATATCCATTTTTTGCTGTTCTGGAAAATTCGCGGGATCATAAAGCTCAAATATAATTCCGAAGTTTGAAGTAATTTAGGGAGTTTCAAAAATAACTGATACTCGGCCACAACAAGAAAGTGCAAGCTAAATTGTAAATCACCGAGATAACATCTTTACTGCAGTGGCCACTAAGCTGATCAAGCATTTTCGAAAGGGGTTCAACATCCAAAGCAACTTGTTCACATATGGATGCTATTTTGTCTGCTTCGGCCTTTTCAATTGCTATAGCGAGCTGGGCCTAAAATCGCAATAACAATTTTAAATAATACTTTGGGAAGAGAAATGCAAACTGTTTGTTAAAGTACAAACCATTACAGAAATTATTAGTCAGCAATTAAGTCTTAAGAAGAATCAAAATAATGAGGTTCCAAAATTTGAATCCACAGCATTCGCTTGAATGCTCAAACCAATGAATCTTCTTTATGAATTCTAGCTCACATCAAGTTGTGATAGCATATAAAGTAAAGGATCAGCCTTCATCCCTAATTATTTGCTCTTAAATTTTGCAACATCTAACAACAAATAACACGGGCATATAAGGCGCAAAATTTCGCTTTTGATTATGAAAGTCGCAGTGTAATTTTTGTATTAAATATAAATTTAAAAAGAACCTACATCAACATTTGGCTAATGATATACATCAAGTTTTATTTCGAAGAGAAAAATGCAGTTGTGTACAGAAATTATGCCAATATCAAGAAATGTATGGCAATAAATGACAAAGTAATAAGCTAAATTTTATTATCACAACAATTCTAACAGCAAAATCATCTTTAGAAGTAAGTGGTACCTCTTTTTGCAATTCGATGGATTCAAACTGGGCTCTTAAATTCGCTTCACTATCAGCAATCTGTTGGTTGAAAGTTGCAATTTGAGTCAAGGCTGTATTTGTATCAAATTGTGGTACTTGTATAGGAGGAGCTAAACTTGCAGGCGGATTTCCATCATTTACTGAAACATTAAACTGATTTCCATTTGCTGGAACAGAAAACATTTTAATAAAAGCAATCATAAAACCGCAAACATAATGCTTTAAAAGCTTTGTCGAAGTATAAATCATCAGAAATTACCAGTCAGACACTTAAATCTTAGGAAAGATCCAGGTAATGAGATTCCAGAATTTGAGCCCACAACATTCGCTTGAATAAGCAATGAATAACCAATGAATTTTTTTAATGAATTATAGCTCGCATCACAATACGTGATAGTATGTAAAGTGAACTATCATTACTTCTGCTCTTGTCCCTAATTATTTTGCTCTTAAATTTTGCAATATGGAACAAAAATAACATGGACACATGATGTGCAAAAATCTGCCTCTGATTATAAAAATCGTAGTTTAAGTATATAGGTAAATTAAGAATACTATCAAAGTTTTAATCACTAAAATTTCTCCTAATTCATTTTACCCAAAATATTTGATATAAAGATTCAAAATTACTAAAGTTTTCTTACGCTTTTGGATTTCTTGCATGACCCTGAAACGATAGTAATCCGCAAATTCGCCACCATATAAAAAAGCAAAACGTGGATCACCATATTGTTTGGCTCTCGTGCGCTCCTCAAATTCCATTCCATTTTTGGCCACAAATTCTGCCAAACGATCAATGACATTTCGAGAATCTTCGTCTTCTAAAATGATGGTATGAGAGAAACAAAGAAGAAATCAATAACATTCCTTAAAAATTCAGAAACCTTCTATTTAAATTTAAATTTTTGCTTGTTTTTGACGAAGTTTTAGTAGTAACTTTTCTTCCCGAAAATATCGAGAAAAGAGAGAGATGGAGCAGATATAATAAATTACCTGGTGCTCGAGGTATTGACGTTGAGCTTAATGATGGTGTAACAAGCATAATTTACAGACGCTGGTTATAGTCTGCTTAGGATGATAAAAAAATCCGTAAGTACATTCGTGTCCTGAGACAAAAAGTAATACCGCAGAAATCGTCCGCTACTCCCACCTCCGACGAAAACCGAATCTGGAGTAATAACAACAATAAGTCCGGACCACTAAATCCCAGCCTATTTTGGACGATCCAGGCTTTTCTGGGGAAAATCTGGAAGTGGAGAATTGGGTTAGTTGTTGGTTTCAGGGAAGGTTTGAAGCCTGGGAGTCGCGAGGAAAGCTGAGGCGAAAAAATATATAGGTATGTGTTTGTGTAGTAATAGTAATACCGTAATCATTTAGTCGATTTTAAGATACAGCAATCCAATTCAATTGTGTTCTCATTGTTGGTATCTTGAAATAATGGCGAAAGCAACGATTGCTCCACCGAAAGCACCTGGAAAAATTCCGTCACTCGCTTTTAAGGTATATCATCTCCCCTTATTAGTATTGTATTATAATTTCAAATCAATCTATATATTCATTGTTGTTGAAGTAAATGATATATTGGTGAGGTAAAAGGCGAAATATATGCCATTAAGGCTGAAAAAGCATTACAGCCCGTTAATGGATAAGGAATAAGGACGACAACAAGAGACGAATTATGTAGCTATTCAGTAATGATTCAGCATGAGAACTATTTTAAACACTCATGCAGAGTAGTTCTGTAGAATAATCATATTAATTATGTAGAATTAATCAGATCTAAAAATTTACAGTTTTGAACATGCAGTTTTGATTGAATTCCAGTTACATTCGAGAATTAAATCTCGTCCTTTATTTTACTTTTTAGCTATAGATCTAAACTCATGTTTGTAGGACAGAGATAAACCAGATAGTGTGCGAAGTAGTAATATCACTGCGGCAAAGGCTGTTGCTGACGCAATTAGAACAAGTTTGGGACCTAAAGGTTACTTTGCCATTTCGAACTTAGCTTTTGTGTGCTTTTTAATAATATTGAAAAAACTAGACTATCTCTGGTTGTCATTTTCGAAATTGATACGAAAAGTTAGATAGTCAGCTAATCATCGATTGATAGCTTACACGAGTGAATATTATCGTTCATATCAGGGATGGATAAGATGATTGAAACGGGAAAAGGTGAAGTAACAATCACAAACGACGGTGCAACGATTTTAAAACAGATGAGTGTCATACATCCTGCAGCTAAAATGGTGAGATTTTTGCTGGACTATTGGGAAATCTTCAGAGTTTGTTCTGTGGTCTTACTATTTTCATCTCTGGAGTTGTGCTGATATTTCACTAAATAGCACTGATTAATTGATGTCAACTTATTGGTAGATATATTACTAAGACTTCTATTTGTTTCAAAAGTGCTTTCTTGTATTATCGGTCAAGATGAGTAGTTTGGTTCTCGTTATTTTAAAATCATTGTGAATGAAATACATATATAATTGATAGACGATCGGAATGCTGTTCTGAAGTTATTTGATGAAAGATTGTAAGATCATGGCTGACATCTAATCATCCTATCAATCGGAGTTATGGAATAGGAGTGATTTAAGAGCATATTGTTATGGTTATTTATTATTGCTGTTATTGCAGTTGATTTAAA